AGCGACCCTCGAAGTTTGAAAGCGTCGAACTTAGCGAATTATAACCAATCCTAGCTTTGCCAATAGGCCTGACTCGTCGAGTGATTTATCTCCGCCGTCGATTTAATTATCTCCGGTGAGTCCTACATAGTGAAATAAAATTAACCAAGGCTCTCTAGCAATTTCTACCACCGCGAGCACGATCCTACAACAGGCATCGTTGCTTGCGACTTTGATTGCGACTTTTCAGAGATAAATACTCCGGAGCGTCAACTAGCATTTGTTTCAGGTGTCAAAGTGTTTGTTTTATTTTTCTAGGTCTTCCTATGGACTACCCTACGTTGTCTTACTCCTCCTTCCCCCTCAAACTATTAAAATACCCCTCAGTTGTCTCAGACCGCCTCCACCCATACCGCTGGTGTTAGGTTTATTTCTTTTGGTCCTTGGTGATTGTTGTGTGTCTGTGCATATCAATGTTTTGACTCATGCTCCATTTTGTCAAAGTACATACAGTGTACAGTATATCTTACGGTGAGCCTGCCAGAGAGGCCCAGAGCGTGTGAAGTGAGGTCTAAGTGTGCAAAGGCAAGTCTGATGGAATCTTATATGCCATTTGTTTAGGGTAGGTCAGATCTTCGACAGATCTTGCAAAAATGGCGGGTGAGTTGATTACAGACTCGCTCTCAAAACCCACTACCCAAGGTAGCGGGAAAAACCCATAAGTGCTGCTCAATTCTTACTTTGTTTGTCCATTCATCTGTTCATTTGATTGAGTGTGTTCAAAAGAGTGAGGAAACAATGATGGGCGGTGATCCGGGACCATGGTCATGTGATGTGTTCTCCGTTGGTGGCTGGCACATTTATTTCCTGAGGCTTTTTTGAGATATATGCACAAGCATGATAAGAGCCCCAATTGGGTCAAAACTCAGCCTGGGCACCCAGTCCATACATCTCAGAATCGCTATGAGGAGAATGATGTGGCATGTAATCTACGTCGACAGATTTCGTCCATATAACTAGCCACAAAAATTCTCGATGCCTTGCCGTGACCGGTGAGCACATCACATGACCGTGGTCCCGGATCACCGGCCGTCTTTGCTCCCTGATGCGCTCACTCGAACCAGAACGTATAAGTTGCTGGGAACGGACAATCCGCGGACAGTACACGGACAGTTCATCACTTATGTGCTTAGGTGTCCATGGACAGTCTGGCCTCCAGCCACTTGTACCTTCATCATGCCCATGATTAGGTGGTCCCGCATCTAGCGCTGTATCCACCCAATGTGTGCCTCGACGAGCGGCTATCCCATACTTCGTCCTTCGATTTACTTGTGGTATTTTTTATGATAGAATTGATACTTAGAATTTCCACCCACTTGTTCTCAAGTCCACTGCCCATATGCTTCGGCAGTAAGCTCCTAACAACGGTGGGGGCATCAGACACCACCAGCAACAATGAGGACACCATAGAGCATGCCCTTGGCCCGCCGATTGTGTCTGACGAGGCAGTGCCCAAATAAGATGCGTACTGTCCGCATGCTGTCCGGATAAGTGTCCGGGAACTGTCCGAGTACTGTCCGCGGACTGTCCATTCCCAGTAACTTAGACATCCTCAATCGAATGAACAGACGAATGGACGAATGAAATAAGAATTGAGCAGCACTATAGGGCTGCTCAATTCTTAACTGCCTCCCATCATTCGTTCAGTCATTCAATCCGTCGTGCTAAAAATAATGAGAGAGAAGAGATCGCCGAGTCATGCCGATGGCCAGCTGGGGAAGAAAAATCAAAATGAGCATGGTCTCGAATCATCTGCCATCACTTTTTCCTGACTCTTTTGGGCGCAATTGAACGAACGACAGCTTGAACTAGTGTTGCTCCTGCAGTGAAGTTGCAGTGTCACACAGTGGAGTTTTTGACACTGCAACCCGAGTGAAGTGAAGTTGAAGGCGCTTCAACGTCTTCATTGAAGTGGGCAGATCAGCCTCGGGATATCCCGTAATATTCCCACATACGCATGGTGAAGGCACTGACTTGCCCTCGTAGGACGAACTCGGGGATATCTGCATATACTTTGTACTCTAAAATACACAAATAATGCCCATACCATCTGCCAGGACATACAATACCAAAAGTCGAGTCGACACCTTGTCATATGGACTCCTGACAAATTTCTTGAGCCCAGTGCAGACTGCCAGCATACCATGGAGGTTATCTGCCACGGCCATTCTATTGTTATCTCCGCACGGGGTATGACGCGGAGTAGATGCGACTCTGCGACTCGGACACCACTTGGACGCAGGGCGAGCGCATCTGGTGGCGCGCGCTGCCATTAACGGTCAGCACGTGGCCATGATCAGACTTCAATGCAGTCTTCAAAGGCAATTCATGATGACTGTGCAGTGGGTGAAGTACGTCAAACTTGAAGTGAAGTGAGACAGTCTGCAAAGTCACCTCACTGCAGGAGCAACACTAGCTTGAACGACGGGTGCTAGTTGAGAATTAAGCATCCCTCATACCTTTCTGGGTCCACGGACCGCTATACGTCACCGAGCACATCCCGATCATGCCGTGGAAGTATGCCCCTCCTTTGAGAGGGGTTATGCCAAACCCGCAATACGTCGCACTTTTTGACCAACCGGCAAGTTCCAGCGTGCCATGTTTGGCTCCAGTGGCACACGGCTACCCAGCGCGGACTTAGAATTATCTCGCGCAGCTAGACTCCGGTCCATGCATAGACTATACTTTGCATCTCACTTACATATCGAAGTAAACAATCAGTACTAAATTCCATCTCAATTCACCGTAGCAGCTACATGCTGTGAACTGCACTCCACAGCAGCTACAGGCTGTGAATTTTGCACACCAAAATAAGGAGGAGCTAAATATCTCTTGTATACATCAAAGATTCGAAATAATTACTTTAAATTATATCCATTGGGACATGCATCCTGCGCTTTCCAGGAGACGGGACGCTTTCCGGGAGACGGGACGCTGATATGCACAGACACACAACAATCACCAAGGACCAAAAGGAATAAACCTAAACCCCGTGATATGGGTGAAGGCGGTCCGAGACAACTGAAGGGTATTTAATAGTTCGAGGGGGAAAGGAGGAGTAAGACGCCGTAGGGTAGTCCGTAGGAAGACCTAGAAAAATAAAACAAAATCTTGATGCCTGAAACAAACACTAATGGACGCTCCGGAGTATTTATCTCTGAAAAGTCGCAAACAAAGTCGCAAACCACGGAACCGAGTGTAGGTTCGGGCCCACGGGAGTAGAAAACGCTAAAGGGACTTGTTTAATTTTTATTTCGCTATGTGAGACGCACCGGAGCTAATTGAATCGATGGCGGAGCTAATTCACTCGACGAGTCAGGCCTATTGGCAAAGCTAAGATCGGTTATAATTCGCTAAGTTCGACGCTTTCGAACTTCTCGGGTCGCTGAGATCGTAACGCTAATTCTCTGAGATGGTGAAGTCGAAACTTGTTTTTCTGTACGCTACTTTGTACAATTTATACTACAGGAATGGCTTTGCGACCGTCCGGAGATAAATAACAAATAAACGCCGCTACCCACAGGATTGCTCAGCACTTTCCTCCGCTATACCATACACCATACGACTCCCTTACGCTCCTACTTGCTCGTTCCAGCCCTTATAGGTCGCCTTGACGCTCCGCCACCTGACCCAGGCGGTCCCATCACTCCGTGCGACACGCCGGTCACGTGTTAATTACCTCCGGCCGTTTGCTGACTGATGCTGACCTTATGGTGACTCGTATGCGTCCGCACCTTCGGTATCTTGACGGAAACGAGGGGGAGTGAGTGCTGGAGGGTGGGCATGAGGACGACGCCCCTCGATAGAAGTGTCCGCGGGTCCCGGAGCTAATTCAGCTAGAAGTCGCATTGGTTAAGTCACTCCTGAGCTTCGGTGTGCGGAGATAAATCGCGGAATGGATCCGTGTACGCCTCGAGGATGTTAGGAAGTCCGGAGCTAAATAGAGCAGTTCTTTAGAGCCCATAGAAGCCTAGAGGCGTGTGAGTGCTGTGTCGAATAAGCTCCGGAGGGCTTGTACGGTGTGCTGAGTCCGCATTTTCGGGGGTCAGACGATCCTGAGGCTTATCAACGCTTTCCGGGAGACGGGACGTCTCCCGGAAAGCGCAGGATGGCAATAAGTGTTCAGCTGGCCAGCCAAACTCTGGCTGCATTTGTGCAAAGCACCTATGTGGTAATTAATTCATCCCATTCCCCAAAGGAGGGGTAAGATGCCGGCGCCAGACGGAGCTTCCCGAGTCACATCTCTGTGCCCTCAATCAACATACTATCATTGGGGGGGTTCTGTAAAAACTTGACAATATGACCGGCCAAGGGCTACCTTCTTCATCATTCCCTGTTATTTCACTCAGGCATGATAGTATACCTTCCTAAGTACCATCTGCAAAAAGAATGATCTCGATTCACTATGTACAGAGTAATACAGAGAGATGCCGCAGACAGACGGCACTTGCGGGGAGTAATGTAAAAACGTCACGCGCGGGTAACACTATCCGATCCGCGCGCGTCTGTCACGCATCTGTCACGCCCTTGGGCCCTTGGTGTTCTGTAAAATCTACCATACGAGCACTTCAAAAGCCTGCAGCTATTATCGGGTGGGCGCAGGAGGTTTACACATACAAGAAACACCTCCTCTAGGCAAGCCGACATATGCCGGGGCCGTGTAGGCTGGCAGATCTACCCATCAAGTGGCCACCAGACCTGTTACAGTGGGCATTTTGGACGGTGTTCAACCTCCCATACGACAAGGGGCCAACTTGAGGCAATTCTGACTTCACAGGCCATCTGTATGGTATACAATGCATATACATACCAACCCGCTAAGCTCCCTGTAGCATACTTCTCGAGATTTCGGAGTTCTGTAAAAAATCAGACTTTTACAGAACCCCCCCAATGATAGTAAGTTCTCCCTGTCGAGATGCTGCGCTATGGGACTAGCTTGAAATATAGTCGTCGTATGTCAGGAAGCATCAGATACTGATCCTCGACCTTATCTACGAATGTCGTTCCCGACCATCGACCCCGATACCTTGCAGAAGACTTTGTCTGCGCCGCCCTTCGTCGTCGTCGATGGCGTGGTCAACATCCGCGACTTTGGGGGTCATCCGACAGCGGAGCCTGACACTCGTGTGCGCTCCTCATACCTCTTCAGATCGGGCGAGCCTGCACGAATCACAGAGACGGGCAAAGAGCAACTGAAATGCCTAGGTATCAAGAAGGTCTTCGACTTCCGTTCGAGTCTGGAGATCGCCAACTACAAGGCGAAGACTCCAGTCATCGAGGGCGTAGAGTTTGTCAGTGCACCCGTCTCGGATGATGAAGCGTACGATCCTGTTGGATTAGCTGCTAGGTGAGATATCCGAATCATGCATCTTCCCCCTAACTCAACCGGCTCTTCAGAGTGAAACGGTTCGAGGCCGATGAGACGACCGTGTGTGGTACCGCTGAGCGTACGTTGAACTGAGCCTGAATGTCCTATGTTGCTTGGCAGGCTTTCGTCGCGCTGTACTCTCGTATTTTGGAGAGTGGCGGTCCTGCATTCGAGAAGGTCCTCCTGCACTTCAGGGATCATCCGGATGAATCATGCTTGATTCACTGCACTGGTACTGCTCCTGCTTGATTCACCGTGCACCGCAATCTCATCTTGGCCTTCCCATGAAGCTGGCAAGGATCGGACAGGCGTATTCGCTGCACTTGTCCTTCAGGTGATCATCGTTTCTGATCCTTGGGCCGTGGCCAAGCTAATGCTATCTTCTGGAGTTGCTGGGCGTGGATGATGAAATCATAGTCAATGACTATGTTTTGACAACGGTCGGACTGCAACCGGCACTGCCGATGTTGGTAGCTAGGTTCCAGAAGGAACCGATATTCAGGGACAATTTCGAGGCCATGATGAAGATGGCAGGGGCAAGGTGCATCTTACAATCTTGCTATGAGTATTCAGTTATTCATTTCCTCTAGAGCGGAAACTATGAGAGCTTTCTTGGACCGAATCCTGAAAGATAAATATGGCGGCCCTGTCAATTACCTGAGGACGCATACGGAGCTTACGGACGAGGACATTACTCAGATCTGCCGGAATCTGCTTGTACAGGAGTAGTGCATAGTATCTCCATAGATCTGCCGGTTTATTCATCGCACCGGCGTTATAGTCCTTTGGACACATTCCTAAGATCACGTCTGTAATATGGAACTAGGCCTGTGTCTAAACTTGTAAGGTCTGAAGAAGCCCTTGCTGGTGAAGAGCCCTGGAGGAGCCTGGTCTCGCACGGCTATGACGCCAACCGCGATCTCCCCAGTTATCCATAATCATGGCGTGTATCCTCGCACTAGTACTCTTCCCTTTCGTTCTTGTCTGCGCTGTTGTTCCATGTGATGAGCGATCTTACCAAAGTCTCTCCGCCGCAGGAATTGAGCGAGAAGGAAAGGGTCGTAATCTTCGAGCACATTTTTCGTCGTTTGGCGAACCACCGCAATACACTGGAGCTGTATGCGGACGCGGAACGTGGTCTTTCGACATTACCAGACGAATCAAGGGAGAAAACCAAAGATGACTACATCCACGAGATCAATTCGTGGGCCAACCAGCTGCTTCAGCATGCATGGGCAGCTTGTCGAGAGCCGGGAGGAGGTGAGCAACTGCCTCACGCGTGTGCTATCTTGAGTTGTAATATGCGATAAAGGTAGCTGTCCAGACCTAAGCCCTATGTCTGATACGTCCCTCGCGGGCCTGCCCAAACTCCCAGACAAAGCTCTCTCCAGGAAAGTCTTCAACGCCATCCTCTTTCTCCATGTTACCTCTTCGAAGCAATACTCAGCACACACCCGCTATTTCCTCACCACATTCGCTCCTCTAGACGAGGCATCCATAGCAGCTACCCTAAAGGATCCTGACCGTGCTGTATCCGAGGCCGAGAAACCTACGGAGCAAGCAAAGAATCAACAAGCGGAGAGAGGACGAACCCTGCGCCGAGTGGGAATGGGCCTAGGTGCTGTTGCAGGAGGTGTGTTGGTCGGAGTGACAGGTGGCCTGGCAGCTCCTGTAGTCGGAGCTGGCGTCGGCAGTATCCTGAGCTTTCTAGGCGTCGGAGGTACCGCTGCAGGGTTACTGGCGACTGGCTTAGCAAGCTCCTCCGTGGTATGTGGTGCCCTGTTCGGGGCGTATGGCGCAAAGTCTACGGCAAGTATGGTCGAGCGCCATACCAGAGAGGTTCAAGACCTAGCCATATTACCGGTACGGCCACCGAAAGAAACGTTGGCGGTGAGGTTGTGCACCAGTGGATGGCTGACATCACAAGAGGATGTTGTGCAGCCTTGGACTGTATTTGGCGGCAATGACACCTATGCTCTACAATGGGTGAGGCAACTTACGCGTATCTCCATAGGGTCGGAGCTCATGATTATCCTCCAGGAAGTAGAAGCTCTGAGGGCTTTATCAGACGCGCTATACACCCTGATAAAGGCTCAAGCAATGCAATATGTCAAAGCAGAAATTATTAAACGAACAGTGCTCGCGACTCTCATGAGTTCGCTGGCACCCATTGCCTGGCTGAAGATTGGGCGTATTATAGGTATGTTTCGTTTATAATTCCAAATGCTTGCGGCTGATATGCTGGTAGATAACCCTTGGATGAACACAAAAGCTTTGGCCGTTAAAGCTGGAAATGTCCTAGGAACTCTACTTGCCCAGCGCGTTTTCGGCACGCGGCCTGTAACGCTAGTCGGCTACTCTCTTGGGTCACTAGTCATATTCGAGGCGTTGAAGTATCTGAGTACGCTTCCCCCTTCTGAGACGGTGCACTTGGTTCAGGACGTGTTCCTGTTCGGTCTACCGGCGCCAAGTGATCCCGAGACTTGGTCCGCTGTGCGTCGAGTAGTGGCGGGACGTCTGGTCAATGGATACGCTGAAGACGATTATATCCTCGCAGTGCTGAGTCGCGCCAGTGACATCAGCTGGAGTGTGTCTGGGTTAGAACCGGTTGTCGTGAAGGGGGTCGACAATGTTAAATGCGATCAAGTGGAGGGCCATTTGCAGTGGAGAGGCATGGTCGGCAAATGCTTGGAGAGTTGTGGGGCTGAAGACATTCTTACAACGGAGGTCCATTTGCAAGTAAAGGAAATCGCCAGCCACATCGAAGAAACAACTGCCATGGGCTAGAAGCAAATGGAACAAGCTTTACAGAAGGGACTAGTTGAGAATATAATTGACCAAGATACTAGGCCGAATCCTGAGGCCTGAGGCCCGAATCCCAGCATGATAACGTTCAGCCAAGGTAACCGGGTGTAGGAGCAGACGCTCTGTGAGGGTGATATGCGTATGAAATGGCATCCGCCAAAATAGTGATGTCCATAATGCATACTTTGATAGTCCAAAGTAATGAGATGTATGTACTATAATACATGGCAAGCATTGTCCAAAAATGAATGTCTACATCGAGCAAATAACACGTTCAATGGCCGGTTACTAGTCCGGATAGGCCTGGCAAACCAGATATGCCGCCATTCTTGAGGATTTGCTGGAAAACATGTTGTCAGCTTAGATAGTTTCCAGCACGTAAGGAGAGCACATACCTCTATATCTGACTGCGACAGAGGACACGCGAAACTAAACTGGTTACTGATAATCGGTGATACTGTAACGGCCAGAGTTCTCAACCCAAGCTAGCAGAGAACGTCAGACTACTATTTACTCATCGGTTTTTATGAGCGTCACTTACTGTTAGCTTGTAATCAACCACAAGATTTGATTTGGCTCCGCCGCCGAATCCGCATTTCTGTGCTATATCACTGAGCACAGCCTGGGTCGGGTCGTCGGAGGCTTTATATGCGATCGTGAACGGGAAAGTGAAGTTCGTAGTCTTCCCTGCGTCAAAAACAATATTATTCTCTTGCCCGCCTCCAATGGCGGTATTGTTAATGGGGTAGAAGATCTGCATACTCATGAGTGGCAAGTGCAGCAATGAGTGTCGTATCGATATACCTGAGCCTTGATCTGTTTGAAGTCGACTGAAAAGTAATTGGGGTTGTTCACACTAACGATCACTAGGTCAGTAACCTTCACTGTCGAAGCAGACATACAACGGACGTGATATTGACGGCCAGGTTGATGTTTAGAGTGCCATCATTTGTAAATTGGATCTACGCGTCCATGGTCAAGAACCTGACAGTTCCGTAATAATGAAGCGACATGCCTCGCTGCCTGTGGTGGGTGCTCCCACATTAAGTATATCAATACTAGGAGGTCGGATCCACTGTTGATGGTAAGTTTGCTATCGGAGGCCAGAGACGTGAGAGATACCCACTAGAAGCAGCGATAGTATAATGCTGACAACCAGGAACAGCGCTATAAGCAGGGAACAACAGCAAAATCGGCCGATGCACCGTCCTCGCCCTCCCTTTATCCATTGTTAACGGCGCGGAGTGGCGAGACGCTGATTCTACTCACCCGAGTCCAGAGATTGTCATCGTCATACTTGAGCGCCCGAATGGTCCGCGACGTCCTTCGGGCGACACACAGGTGAGCTAAGGAATTCCCATCTGCGAGCAGCGCAGTACGCACTTTGTGAGCCGCCTCTTAGGTCCATTCGCGTCATCTTCATCAAAAGTACTCGTCTCCTTCGACCGACCCTGCAACTGGTCTGGGGGACGAAATGGTTCGTCCCTGTAGCCTCCAACATAAGGCCCATATGCCCCTTGATCGTAAGTCTCGTGAGGGGCACGGTTCTCGTAGGGATTAAAGTTGTCGTGACTGTAAGGTTGAGTCTGCCCGCCGTACGACCTTGCGTACGGATCGTTGTATGTTGCCATGACTGAGAGTTTGGAAGAAAGAGGGACACGGAAATGGACCAGAGCGTTACAGAGCGAGGCGCACCGCCGCAGCTCTCGGCGTCCCAGGAGTTGTCGGCTTGTGGCGGCACTGCATTTCTTGGTAACCCCGTGCGGCGTCATCCCACGAGGCCAACCGGACCTAAATACGCATAGCGGTCAAGTCTCAAAGTCGATCGCTGCAGAAACAACTGGCTCCCAAGCCCAAGGTTTATATCCAGCAAACGCAAAAGCAGAAACACTGATACAGTACTCGAATGACATTGACAGAATTACAATGGCGCTGTATTGACATGGCTGGGGCGAACGGAGAAGCATCAGAAACATATATTGTAGGCGCGTTCTCAACCAAACCCTTGCTGACTTCTCGACCCCGGCAAAAATGGCATCCTTTGGTTAGATCCTTGCCTCGGCAAAGGTCCTGGGGCACGAGAGGGAGCAGCAGATCCTTGACGCATAGCAGAGTAGTAGCCTGGCGGATTGGGTAAAGCGTTCTGTCCAGAAGGTGTAGAAGGAACAAATCGCTGATTCGTTCTGGGGGTTAAGGGGATCGATCGGTTGGGAGTTGGAGGTACGAAGCGAGGCGCTGCAGAGGAAGATTGCTGAGAGGGTCCTGAAGTGCTGGGCTGGCGGTTTATAGGAAGACCGTAATTGCTATGGCCTTGAGGCGTAGGAGGCGGAGGCATATGCATTTGGCTTCGACCCGGGCTTCTGACACTGGGCTTACATCGCTTTTGAGATGAAGACTGATAGGGAGGCGGCATCGACTTCCAGTTCTCGCCTTGATCGTGCGATTGAGCGTGCAGTACTTGAGAACTTCGTATTTGCACCTGTCGGGTGGGCGCTGTCTGCCAATGTGTCAGTACCGGAGGTTGCATGGCAACGTCATTTGCGCTATACGCGTATTGTCTGCTTGCGTAAGATGGTGAATACGAGGATCAACGTGAACTAGAAGCGTACTGCAGGAATCTGCTAGAGCCAGGTCTCTCTCCTGCCCGAGACATTTGCTGCTTAGCCTCGCACGGAACTGCTGGATCGGATCTAATCTCGGAGGCTCTACCAAAAGAGAAACTCGGTTGCAGATGGCTTGGAGGAAGCGTGAGCCTGCCGGGGCCAACAGGAGTGACTATCGTACGCGGGCTAGAATTCGTCCTGAGAGTATCGGGGTGGCTACCATGGCAGGGTCGATGGATGGACTTCATCAGCTCTCACAGCTCAGGTTCCTTGCTTACCGATCAGGGTCTATCATTTGCCGCTTCCCGTTCCCATTGAGGACTTGAGACGGTTCGTTGCCGTAACCAGAGTATCTTCTAAGCTGCTCATTCTCGTGCTTGAGTTCCTCTACTGCCCTGACCAAGGCCAAAAGTCGACATCTCATCGTGACGGAGAGGAAATATACCGGTCGAACGGACTTACTTTCGCAAGGCCTTATTCTCAACTATCTCGCCTTTCATGCGGTCCAAGAGAGCTTTCTGCTGGTAGCATTTGGTTCGATAGTACCCAATCAAAGATGCCATGGCGTCTTGCTGGAACTAAAGGCAGAAAGGATCCGAGTGAATGTCATCGCTGATGACCTGTTAAAGCCGACCTTTGCTGCATGTGCTACGCTATCCATAACTTGCGCCGCGGGTCGAAACCAGTCGGACATTGGGGGTTCCATCTGACCGACAATATGCATCCACTAGGCTGGATGTTGCGACCGGCAATATACGTACGTCGCGCTGCAACGGCATAACCTGAACACCTGCCTCACCGCACTGCGCACAGCTCTGATCAGGGCCTGCGGTACTCATATGAGAGACAACTCAGAGGATAAGTTGTACTGGTGCCGCGATGGTGCATTGACTGACTGATATGGTTGTTGCAGATGACATGACCGCATTCAGTGAGCCAGAATGGAACTTGAGGTTGAACACCAGGCTCCACTGAGAACGGCAAATAGCAGCGAGCGCAGTGAACGAACTCCCAGAAGTTGAAGGTCGATTGTGCGTGAGGGACCTGCGACATGGCTGGGAGTGGGGACGGGACTGCGAGTCTGCGCAGTCCAGCATTCCGAGACGCGCTTGTGGCGTGTATTTGTACATCTTTGACTAGTGTCTTGCGCCACTTCACCTTCAGACCTTCAGATTGAGGCGGTTAACGTGACTGCTTGTGGCTGAGGGTAGCACTGCGTACGGTGTAGAAGGGTTTTCGATGTTTCATGGGAACTATCAGGGATGAGCTATGCCTAGAACTTCCCAATCAGCTCATCGAAGCCTTCCCAGACATCGGCGTTTCCTGCGACCTGCGAGACTGCAGCGTTCACTCGGATAGTGGGGCCGTGACTTCAGTATATGCGGCGAATTCCACATCATGATGTATGCACATGCCCATCGATGATCTAGAGGGAAGGACCTTGTGGGCGTCCGTGGCAGAATATATCCGTTGACGTGCGGTGCATATCATGATCAGTCACCATTCGTTTGTTCCGTACAGAGCATTCTGACAGCCCGGACCGCCTCATGTCTTCGACTTCTAGCGCTGTACATAGCAGCGCCATAGTGAGCTACTCTTTTGTTGCTTGAGCCAACCTTGAGCGCTTATATGCAGCTTATACTTGGATTTGGTGTGAGTTAGACGACTCTTTTCTTCACCTGCTATCGACGAACGACACGACCTCCGCCACTATCCACTGTCCATCCTTGAACGTGACAGCAAGTCAGAGCACTTTTCTTCCAAGTCCTGGAAGCCAATTTTTTCATTGAATGGTGCCCGAGCGCTTACTTTGTCCAAATATCAATGGAGAGCATTCTTTCACCGTCGGTGTGCGCCGACTGTGAGCTGCAGCCACACTGGCCGGGGCCGGTGCCGAAAATGGCGGACATCGAACCGTCTGTGGCGGACGTCGTGCAAACGATGCAGACACGGCCGAGGTTACTTCCTCGCAATGAGGGCGCGCCATTCGTGACCACCAAAGATTGGTCTCTGGGTGGCCTTCTTGAGCGTAGTGAGCGCTTTTTCCCAGTCCGCCGCGTTTCAGCTGCCTTGTCTGCTCAGGAGTTGGCAGCTGAGCTCGCGCGGTTCGAGAAGGATGGTGTACCTTTAATCATCGAAGGATATCACGAACGCCCAGGATGGCCGAAGCACTTATTGAATGTGGACTGGCTTCTGGGCCAGGACCTCCCAGGTAGTCTTGGGTTGTGCTTCGACGCATGTGCCGTCTTGACCGTATGCTCGATGTTTAGAGGTCAGAACTCGCAACGTGCGGGATTGGACCGACGGCAAGATGTGTATGAAGGACTTCATCTCCACCAGTCGATCGACGAGCCCTTATGCCTCGCCAAATGGTTCGTCATTGCTCTTTAGAAGCTAGCATCGGTCAGACCGTTTCTACCCTAGAGATCACAAGGTTGTATGGCAAAGATGTCGACTGTCCTAAGGAATGGCAGGACTGGCTCGAAAGCTCTGACGTCTTGCCGTCTGTGTTACTCGAACAGCATGAAGACAATCTGATGCAATGTCTCCCTCAAGATGTATGTGTTGTCCGGGAAACAATTTTTCAAGTTGCTGACAGCTTATCTACTGGTAGGAAAAGGTGGAAACGCTGATGTGCTACTTCGGTATAGGAGACACCTTTACACCGGCCCACAAGGACTTATGTGCTTCCACTGGTCATAATCTCATGTGCTACACTGAAAATTCCGGATCGTCCTTCTGGTTCATGACCTCCGGCTCAGCCGCCCACGACGTGTCGCAGTACTTTCAAGGATTAGGTCAAGAGCTTGACCTTGAGACGCACGTAGTGACCATCGAGGAGCTCGCTAAAGCCGAGTCTTTCGACGTCTACATCGCCGAGCAAAAGCTAGGCGACCTTGTGTTGGTACCACCACGAAGCTGCCATCAGGTGGTAAATCACGGAGGCATCACTATCAAGACAAGCTGGTCGAGAATGACCTTGGACGGATTAACGACGGCTTTGTATCATGAGCTACCTATATATCGTCGGTACGCCCGTTTAACCATTTCTGCTGTGTGTGAGCTCATCGTAATACTGGCAGGGTCTGTCGTCCAGAGACGTACCGCGTCAAGTCAGTAGTATACCATGCTATGATGCGGTATTCGCAGGAGCTCTGGTCGTCCATGAAACCGTCCGGGAATCGCCAATCCGGGCCCTCGACAAGTACTACTCCCATAATGTCAGAGTCTCGCTTCCCAACTTCGTCTGCAAGGTGCACGTCTCTATCATCTAGGGCTGCGACTCCAGTCGGTCATGCCGATCGCTGCAAAGAGAAACAAAGCCATGCCCTTCGTAAACTCGTGGGCCTTTTCGATGAAATAATAATTGAAGAGTTCCACCCGGAACATGCTCAGTTGAAGCATCCACTGTCGAATCCGCAGAATTGGCAAGGCGTTTGCGATTTTTGTGGTTGTGATATATTTCAGAGCTTCTTCGAATGCAGAAACTGCGTTTCCGCAAAGAGCGACGGCCCAGTAATTCCAGGGGATGGTTTGATAATATGCCCCGCATGCTATGTCGAAGGTCGTATTTGCAAGTGCGAGTGCATGGTGCCTCTACAGCGATTCAAACTTCATGATCTAGTCAGCAAGCGGAACGAGGCAGCTATTGCATTACTAGGAACCAATCATAGGAGAAGCACCATTTCGCCCGCAAATCTGCGTATAGAAAATTTGCCGTATGTGGCTGTTTCTACAAAGCTGCCTGAGCTCACGATCTGATGTCTTGCAGACTTAAGGACAGTGATGGCATTCAGAGACTGCGTGTTTTCGAAGCCGCGAGTGTCCTTCATCAGCTTCGACAGCAAGCTCGGGATAAGGTCAGTCGGTTACGAAGCATGAAATGTCCTTCCTAACCCCCAAACGCAGAGGCAAACGAGGACATGTAGGTCACGCCAAGGTGGTATCATCTGGTCTCATGCTCTATGTTACCTTTCCGTTCTGCCGTGCAAGAAGTGCCATTCTGCGCTATGTTTCAGACATGCTCTTCTGCTCGGCATCCACTCCGCCTCGGCCTTGTTGAAGCGACGGGAGGATGCCTCCTCTGACGAGATGTGGCATGAATTCCACACAACAAACAAACGCGAATTCCTTTCGAGAAGGCGGCAAGTCAGGGACGCGGAGATTCGGGGAGAGCGTTGGCGACTTGATGATCGCCTTGCCTTAGTGGCCTCCGAATTCAACGTATGCCGGCCCGCCAATGAACGTTGGACCAAACTCGGCTGGTATGATAACTACATTCAGGTCTCGGGCGTAAGTTGCTCTGGATGATGTCCTCCATTGAATATTAACATGTTCGTCTGAGAAGTCTCGGGGGCACTTCCTGAAGGTACCGGTCGATGAGTCAAGAACTATTGCGCCAGGTCGTTCCGTTGTCAGCTCTCCCCTGACCGAGATCGAGACATCCCCAGACACCGCGCTGGACCAGGAATCTGAACTGATGGAATGCCAGACAGACCCCGCAGCGGCCATCCCTGCCGCTCGAGCACTCCCGATATCAAGCGACATTCCAGCCGTTTCTTCGACCTCGACTCTTATATTCGAAGGCGATGCTGAAGTAGAACAGTATCGAACATGGACTTGCCGGTTGCTTCTAGAATGCGTGGAGATTCCTGCCCGCAAACGACAATCTCCGACATCCAATGGACAGGGGAGAAAAAAGGCAAAGCGTACTACTCCAGTATACGATGCCGGGTCTGCGGACCAGGCTCAAGTCGTGCGTATCCCTTCAGTCTTTCTAATATATATCTTACACCATTTTGGTGTATCTCAGGACTATGGATCATCTGGACCAATTATGACTTCTGGGTGCACGCAGAGTTTAGCATCTATTTTCGCGTCGCAAACACGTAGGAACGACCTTGCCAGAGAGAATCCTGCGACATCATCCGCGGCTCGCTCAACGTCTCCGGATCTCCAGCTATCGTCGAAGCCGTCGTTCCGCAAGACTAAACTGAGGAAAGGACCGCCCGGTGAAAGGGGCCATGATTCCGTCGCCTTCACGTACAACACCTATCACTCTACGTGCGGTAAGTTGAAGTCGCCTCACCAAACCACACAATTGTCGCCGGGCCTCAAGTTTGGACGTGGATCACGAAGCAGTAACGTTGCTTCTGGAGCTGACGTTGAGGCTCCAGTACCTTCTCTCGAAGGGGAAAATAACGACGGGAGCGTCGGAACGGAACGGAGGCCTCCATCGGCTGAGGTCGTCGCAACGTCCAGAACGCAAGAAATATTCTTTGCCCCCTCAAGCCCCGATTCGTCCTCGAATCGCCAGCCGTCTTCAAATGCTGTCCAGGTCATGGAGGCCCGTTGTAAAGGCAGAGTACAAGGTCGCCCGTCGTCCTCCCATCAAGTTGATAAAGTCGTGGATGCAACTGGCACATCCGGCCCAGGAGGCTATAATTTGCACTCTCCTGTCGCAGAGGACGAGCTCAGCCAGACTCGGGAAGAACTCAGAGAAACTAGAGAAGAGCTGGGCGAGGCTCAAGAAGAGCTTGCCAAAACTCGAGATGAGCTCAGGGACATCCGGGATGAGCTTAGGAGGACTCGAGAGGAGCTCACGAACACTCGAGAGGGGCTCCATACAAGAATAACAGGCTTCGAGGAAAAACAACAGCTCTTAACAGAACAAGCTCAGAGACATTCAGATCAAATAAAGGAGTGCCTGCAGGTCATGATGCGGAATTCCTCAGAGCATCATCATCATGTTTCGGCTGCGAATTTGGATGACCGGCCCTACTCGCGAGACGTCAGAATGTGCATGCTCGAGGAACAAGTAAGAACCGTGCAGTCTCGACTGGATAATGCGCATACTGCACAGACTCTGCTCTTGTCATTACCGAGTCAGTATGTGGTGCCACAAGCAACACCGTTCTACCCTGTAGTGGGACCTTCTGGTTTCAGAGAATTCAACCAGGTGGGGGTTATCCGTCATGATGCCTTCGGCCATTGAATTTAGGAATGGTGTAGGATCAGCATCAATTCAGACAGCCTCAAACACTTCCGCCTTCCAACCCCAGGCCTCGGGGTAGGCATGGCAGAGGCGGTTATCACTTTTCAAGAGGGGCTGGCAGTAAGTTACCTGTGTGCATTTTTTCGGGGTTGACCATACGACTGCTTCAGGATTTCGTGGTCGTCCTCAAAATCATGCACCACCCTACCATCATCGCCATCACTCCGATTCTTACTCTACTAACAGATGGGGCCGCAATGAACCGCCTTCCCGACCTGCATACCTGTCTCGCGATGATCACACACGCACGAAAGCCCCTATAAGTCATGACTACAACAGTTCCAGACCGAGCGATAGCATGAATGCCAGACGAGGTCAGTCGTGGTCACAAGGCGAGGAAAGGCCGTTTATATCAAGCAGTCGCGGTTCCTCCGTGGATCCAGTGGGTCGCGAGCGTTTCACCCGAGAGACTTCCACAGGTATGATCAGCGTTGACATGGTATTACCCATATGACGATCTGACGTTGCACCCCCAGCACCTTCAACTACAAGTCATTGGGAAGATGGATATGAACAAGACGTTGACAGCCTAATGCTATCTTCAAAGAAGATGCCGAGTGCCTCCGCATGTATAGGAAATGCAGCGCACTCTCTCAGGGGAGATATCCAGATTCAAACCGCTGGCCATACAACCAGTGCTGAGCTTGAGATGGGGCCTAATCCGTGGCGATTATAGGTGACTATGATGCGATATAGTGCCATCGCATTTCCGCGCGCGTTGTTTGTCTGCGGCCAAATATACTCACCCTTTTCGGGCATCGGCAAATGCGCGGCAAAGGACTCGTCGAACTTATCAGAGTAGTTGGCCATACAGCTGGGGGCAAAATATATGGATTTGTGTCCTTACTGTAGCTGTATACACACAATACATATCATGATCCTGCCTAGCCAAAGGGTCCCGCGAGACTCGGGAGGCCTTCCGAAGTCGAAAAGGGCATATTCGCGGACAAACAACACGCGCTGCGATGTTCCAAGGCACTGTAAGGGCATGTAACCGAACACCTTCTCCACCTTTACCTTAGAGTAGTTTTTCAGATGTACTAGCAATGTCATTATTACCTATCAGAACTGTGCCTAACACAGCCAATTACGAAGCAGGGTATATGAAACGTGCAAAAAAAAGGGGTCCCCGAAATGAAAAGATAGAACAAAAAAGCACAAGGAACGTCAGCAACATCGGCAGCTCAAGACTCTCCATAGTGTAGGCTTGGGCTGCGACGCTTCCCCATCCTGACCATGATAACCGATGTCTCTTGAGACACCAACATCTCCCGCTCTTGCCCTCACATTAGTTACCGCAGGGGGAGCGGCACCGACGCTAGAAACCATGGGAGAGGCGCGGCCATAGGGCTGCGGTTGGCCGCCGTAGGACTCATCTGCAGTTTCAGGCCGCGCAAAGTCGTAGCCTGGGGCTGTTGCGTACGGGTGTTGTATTTGACTTAGTCTATTCTGTGACCCGACCGGGATATTGACTTGCGCAGCGGCAGAGAGAGGTGTGACCTGTCCTGGGGTATTACCGCCTCCAGGTGTAAGAGCTGCCGGTATTTTCCGCTGCTTCGATCCGTGGCGCACAAGGGCTGGAGAAGGAGGAACGACTCCCCCGGCCTGAGACGCTCTCCGCTGCGAGTCCCGGTGGCGATCCGCGTCCCTTCTACGCTCTGGGTGCGCATTAGAACTACCCTGAACTTGTTGCAGCATCTGGCTCTGGCCCTGCAAGGACAATCAGCCATCTAGCAGAGCGATGGTAAGATGTAAAGCATACCGTTGAAGCTTCCCAGCCTTTACCGCCTATGAGGAGAGATGAGGACTCCTTGATGGATATACGCGCTTAGAGCTCACCGTTGAGCAGATTCCAGTCATATACCTGATCTTCGATATCACCATTGTTCTTCAAAACTTTGGCGAAAAGTTCGCGTAGGAAATCGTAGTCCGGTGTTTCCTCGAAACCCAGCTTCCTCACGTAGTTCAGGTATATACCAAACTCCTCTGTTCTTTCTACCATAAACACATGTACCGAACGTTATAAAGAACAAGAAGCGTACCCGGGAAGCCTTCACAGAGCTCCTTGATAGGAGTAGTCTGCTTCTTTTCGCCGATTTTCTCGTACTTCTGCTTGTTCGTCGCCGCCTTAAGACCCTGCCATGGAAGGCTGCCACGGAGGAAGTACATGAATACATGACCAAGAGCCTCTAAATCATCTCTCCGTGATTGCTCTGTTCGTAACCCGTCAGGCAAAGCATCCTAAACTGGGCATGAGTTGATACGCACCGCGACCCAGGTGAGTGTTTATACTCATGTAACGAGCCGTACCGCTTAGACTCTTTCGTTCGCGATAGGGTATGTGCTGCTTCGTCTTTGGGTCTCGGTATTGCTTGGCCATACCGAAATCAACCACGTGGATAACTTCGAACAAAGTAAGCAATACACCCTGTTCCGTGCGGGGCTACTGACCATTAGCATTCTTTGTCCCGGGTCGACCAATGAGGAAGTTGTCGGGCTTGATGTCGCGGTATATGAGGTTCTTCTCATGGATCGTCTGGACCCGAGTGATCTATCACGAATGAGGCGAATGTTCACAGACACACAATCCAGGTTCACTTACCATTTGCCGCGCAGCCATGCAAACCGTTTTGACCGAAAACTTGCGCCCGCACATGTCGAACAAATCCTCCAAGCTAGGCCCTAGCAAATCTATCACCAGGATGTTGTGCAGGCCTTCTTGGCCGAAATGGTATATCTGGGGTATTCCCGCTGTAACACAGCCGTCAGGAGGTATTGTACAGTCGCCAGAGGAAGACTCACGACAACCGGCCAGTATCCGATACGACCGACACTCATCCCGAAGTTGAGGGGCTTCTGCCTTCCGTGGCTCCTGTGAAGTCGCGCAGTAAGTTGGCCATCCGATCACAGATGCGTAGGAACCGTTGTCCGCGCACAAACTTGATAGCAACGGTCTGCGAGTTTAGCAGGTTTGTTCCTACCACAAGACAGGAGATGAAACAGGTAGACAACTGCAAGTGATAGGTCTTACCTTCAAAGATGACACCGAAGGAGCCTTCGCCGATCTTCCTACCGACCCGGTAGTGTACGCCGACGACGTTGGCGGTAGACGAGTTATGCGTATGGCTGGACATCGACCCCCACTAGATACGGTCGCTAACAGAAAGGAAAGGAAGGAATAGCGGCCAGTAGAGAAAGCCAATTAGCCCAGCCCTGCGGGTCTGAGAGGAGAGGGTAACGTTCGGACTGCGCCGATACAGCCCAAAACGGTCTTCCTGAGAGCTCGGCAGCCGGCTGCAGTATTTTATCTCGATTTCGCTGTTGGCCTGCGCTCGACAGCTGTGGGGACAGTGGGGTTGAAGTTCGAAAGATAATTCACAATAGTACAGTATGGCTTTACAACAGGTAGTATATGAGTACACGGATTAATAATCGTCACCACCTATCGCAACATGTCCAGCGGCGTTCATTTCCATCCCTCCATGTCAAAGACCTTGGAATCGAAGCTGTCGATACACGTGCATCCCACGATGCTCGAGACGCTCACCTGCTGCATCCAGAACTTCAGGCCTTGACGAATGCTGTCACTGCTCGCAAGGCCGGTGCAGACGAGAGCCAAGAAACCCACAAATATCCCAAGAAGTCGGATCCGGCGAGCGCGACTTTGCTGCCTGATCCAAGATTCTCCACCGACAAGGACGAAATGGTTCCATCTTGGCTTGCGTAGAATCCACCAAAACAATGACATCGGTCCCGGGAAGTTGGCGACAACCTTGCCCTCCCTCCTATCGGACCGATAATAAGAGTGGCATTCCGTCCAGACCGAGTTCTTCAACCGCTCCTGAAGCCATGCATTGTATTCATGGAATGCCTCCTGGCTTACTTCAAGGGACTTGACGGCCCCATCGATCACAGGCTTTATTAACTGCAGCACCCATTGTATCTAGAAATCTGATCAGAAGAACATAAAAGGCGATCGCGTCAACCCTCCTACCTGAACCTCCTCGCTAAAAATCACGGAGGAATGGCCTGTAGCCACGTTCGGTCCTGTACACGACCTTATTCAATCTAGGTCACAGTGAGGATACGGTGGGTACTAACCAAGTAGTGTGTACAAGTTTGGGAATCCCGGTGCGCATGTGCCCATGTACGAAGTGGGCCCACCTTGAGACGCGAAAAAGTCTTGCAGGTTGAGTTTGTTCTTCCCGCTCATCGGAAGCTTTGGATTCTACAGGTCATGGCGGAGTCGCGATCAGGGTACGAGCTAAGGTTTGTTTTGTGACTTACCAGGCCATACCCAGTTGCGAAGACGATGACGTCCAGAGACACTTGCTCTCCTGTCCGCAGCTTGATCCCCGACTCCTCAATTCTCTCGATACCGTCCCAGACCATCGAAACGTTAGGTCTGTGAAGACTCTCGAGAAAGCCGGGATCAATAATTATACGTTTACAGCCCGGGGCTTCAGTCGTATTGAGAATCTATAGGCACTTCAAACAAGGATCAACTCACGAAATGAAGGGATCAGGTATTTGTGGTACTCTTCGGGTGCCGTCTTCTTCATATAGCTAGAAAATACCTGAAACCATAAAATTAGATACACAGTGGCAACCAGGACAGACAGAAGCGATACCTTCTTGACTACACTAATGAAGAATGCATGCCTCTTATTGAATATGAGGTAGCCAAACTCTGCCTGTGCCCCCAATTCAGAAAAACAAAGCAGTGCCAAAGAATATGCTCTTAACCTTGACCATCAACCAAATCCGATACAAACGCGTGGCGAGTGGGGTATGCGAGAAAATCCATCTAGCCCAAGGAGGATATGTGTATTGAATCTGTTCAGTGCCGTTAAATGGGGTACGTCCAGTCCTCGTAACCTGAGCTAGCGTACTCTTGGGCTGTACCATTGCTGCGTTCTGCAGAAATTAATCACTTCGACGGTAGGATCCTCTGATACTTTGGGTATAAGCTGCGCTCTGAAGGAATGGTTCAGGTAACTCTCAATGTCCTCAGGGCGTGGCTTACGCGGAGCAGCCGTTACCAATAACTCCGACTCTCTTCCCCTTGAGATCTATGTCATGTCTCCAGCGCGCGGAATGCCACGTCAGTCCCTTGAAAGACTCTTGGCCCGGAATGTCGGGAAACAGAGGGTACATGAATCCGCCTATGGCCGACACGACTATATGGGCTTCTACTTCCTTCTCCGTGTTGTTAAAGCGGTCAACCGCGGTCAACCGCCACAACTGTTCCCCTTGGTCCCATTGGAGTGTTGTGATGTCATGATTGAAGAGTGTTTTCCTGCCCAAATTGTGTTTGTGGAATAGGGCCTCCCAATATGCGCGAATTTCTGGCTGCGAAACCAAGTAACTCGACCAGCTCGGATTTAGCTCGGTTGAAAGTGAGTATGCGTGGCCGGGGACATCTGATCCGCAGCCCTGAGAGCATCTATGTCAGTACAAGTCTCAACAAACTGGCCTGCGAACAAACAGGGTATGTATTATCCTGCGCACGTTGGCTACTTGAGTACGTTGCACGGGTCACCAACGGCATGACTCACCCGCCATGTCCCGCCTACATCGCCAGCCCTTTCGTAGATCTGACCAGAACAAAATCAGTCCAGTGGCGAAGACGGATTGGTAAGCTCACGCACCGTAAAGCTGGCATATCTAAGGCGCTCTTGCAATGCAATAGCCGTTGAAATGCCTGCTATTCTTCGTGCCATTCTGTGTCAGTACTTCAGAGCTCACGACAGCCTCGCTGCTTACCCAGCGCCTACAATTGCTATATGGCGATCACCCATATTCCTATGTCGCGAGCAAGCTAGTGTTTGGTACTGGCAGAAAGCAAGACACGCTGCGGTGAGATTCACATGGGGCGAACCCATGGCAGAAGCACCATCCGCAGGAACTCTTCGGCATCGTCCTTCGTCTCTCGTAGAACGAATCCTTGTGATTATTACAGGAAACTGAGAGGTCTGTGGAGTACCCTCGGATATCGTTGCTCGGGTGCAATCAGATGAAATGGTAGACGCGGAAATGATCATAATATGGCACGCGCGTCGGGTCCCATGATGATCTTGCAGCTGCAGCGGTTGTGCAGTAGTATTGATTTTAGCATGCTATGATACAATAATTTCATGAAATAATACTCAAGCTCAACTAATACACAAAGGAGGGGTAAGCTGTCGACAGCCGTCGGCGCTTCTCGAGTAACTGTCAATGATGAATATTAATTACACATTACCAGACGGTCACAGAAGGACGCTCATTATCACAACGCAAGTCGAACAGGACAACTGCGACACAAATTGGCTGTAGTCTTAGTCACAAACTTCAGCCAGACGCAATGTGCATATTACAAGACGGGATGCATTACTAGACGCGATAGCAAAAGCAGGGACAACGGGGATGAGAACTGTACACAATGCTAGAGAATGGTATCTTAGTACATGTAATTAGACAGCGATAAGTCCGGTGAGATACAGAGATACAATGGAAATGAAAATGGAGGGGTCGCAGCGCGGCGGTGAAGTATCGCTGTGCTCCTTGGGAGCCAATAAATGAGTCAAGGTCGCGCATAGTCGAGCTTAATGGCAACTGAGCTGTGTCACGGTAATTTTGGGCATACAACCATACGTTCAGGCCCATGCACGGAGGGCAGTTCCCTACCGGAACTCGAAGCTGGTCTCGCATGCGTCTGGCACATGGACCAAGGATAGCTGCTGGTATCTACTGAAAAGCATCAGCAACAAGAAAGACGCCCGCTACTGCTTCCAGACGTACGGCTCAGAATTCTGGTGGAAGTAGTATCCACTCATGGTCGCCGCAGGTCTCGGCCCGGACCTCAGACCACGGGACATAGAACGACGACTGGACTTGGATCGCCTGCCGCTTCCCTCTTTGCTGTCTCTGTGCATCACTCGGGGGGGACTGTCCACTTTGGCGCGGAGAATGTCAGTTTCAGACTCGGGCGACAGAGGCATTTGCTGGGGTCCTGGTCGAGATGTCGGGTGATTTGGCTGTGGATTGAAGTCAACGCAGACATAGTAAAAGCCTGAGGCGGAGAAACGATACAGTCAGCCAATTTCGCAATGAAATGCAAGGAGACATATTAACCAGCAAAACTGGCGCCCGTGATATCTTGGACTCGGTGGTCGGGAACCAGGAACCGCTCCTTCCACCGCATGAACACGGCACCTCGATCTCTGTCATCAACAGTCCAACCGGGCCTCTGCTGCATCTCGTGTTTCACGTGGCGGAAAGGGGGGAAACACGCCCAATGACTGAGGTCGTCTTGTTCAGTGGCACCCCAATCGAGTGTGCGAAAGCCATAGCGGCTGCCGATAATCTCAGCGTCAAAATAGGTGGTAAGTTCTGGCCAATCCTCTGTCAGACCCTGGATGCACAGATACCCGCACAGCGTAGAGGACTCGAAGTCAACGTCCTTCGACGAGATCTCAGTCACGTCGTCTTGTGAGCGATGCGATCAGCACGTACCACAATGTTCACGGTCACATCATAGCTATTCCGCCCACTCTTCTGCGTGCCCTTGAATAGGGCACCGGGGTACAAACTGTGGCAACCTTGAGATCGCACACGTAAACGCGTGATGTCCACCAGAGGATCCGGAGAAAGAGGAGAGGTCAAGGGAGTACGGTCATAAGCAGCAGAGACTGGTTGCAAGAAGGTCTGGATACGCAATGGCGGAGGGGAATGCAGGGTTATGCTGGACTCCTGTCCCGTTCTCCCCCTTCTGCTGGGAGATCCTACAGAGCTCAAGAGCGTATGCTGTAGTGGATCAGGGCCCGCCCTGCTGTCCCCGACGAAGCCCGCAGGAAACTCGTCTATGCCAACGTCGCTGTCGGTGGCGCCCTCACTGGTAGAAGCTCTTGAAATTGACGGCCGATCTACACCAGAACCGATATCCCCCGCCAGCATTCGATGACCATAATCCGCTCGCGACTCGGTATCGAGCAGACAGCTATCTGTGGATTGTATGCCACCACATGCCAGTAAGCCCTTCTCCTGGCAAAGTCTGCAGACACTGGCAGAGTCACCATGCGCTGCGCCTTCGAATATGAACGAGATGGGTGCGAAAACGCCGTCCGCTGGAATCGGAGTGCGACAGTGCGAGCAAGTCTTGTCCTGGACCTGGGCGTGCTCAGCGACGGGGTGGTCCGGGACAGCGGGGATAGGTAACGGCGCGGTAGGCATCGCGGGATACAGCGGCGAGCGTCTGTGAAGTCGAGCGTCGACGATGGAATGGGGCCGTGTGGGAGAAGCTTGGAACAGGGTTTGTGAGACTAAGTTACAGCTGACACGTGCCACAGCGGTCGCTTGACCTTGTTCAGTACTTAGTTCCTCTGTTTTCTTTTCGAGTTCCAGACGTCAGAAATTATGTTCCAGCGCTGTCCAGCGCCCGTCGAGAGTATCCAGACCTTAGACTCGCGCTGCGCTTCTCATCGGTCTAAATACGCAGCCAGCCTGCAACCGTCCCAGTGATGGCCATCACTCAATTGTTGCGCTCCCCCTAGCCACATCTGTCAGCGTCGTCTCGCAGCGCCAGCGGTGCGCCGGTGCCAGCGGACTTGCGTAGGAACCTGACTTGCGGTCTTCATTCCTTCGAGTCCGAGAATGTATCTCTTGGAGCAGAGAACGGATTGCAACAGGCGCCCAGAAAGAGTCGAAGCAAGAAGACTTGATGCTCTCACGTCGTCCAGGGGTTGTATACGTCTCTATGATCTGATGGATCTGTCCTGTGCATAGTTTGCAGAAAGAAATGTACAGATAATTGGACTGCTTCCTGCTAACTCTGTTCGTCTGCATTCACCTTAAACGCCCTAGGTGAGTACAGTATCGAGACATCCCCGAAAAACCCGTCAAAGGCATTGTACATCCCATAGAACTGATTGACACCAGTGTGCACCTACTGGCCCGAACCGCCTTTCAGGATGGTTTCACGAAGGGCGCTAACTTGAACCTTACGCTGGCCAGGTGATTAGCTCGCTTCATGAATCCCATACTTATTGATGGTCGACTGAAGATGTCAGATAATCCCGGCACCCTGTGGCGAACTCGTGCGGTGATGATCCCCACCCGCCTAGGCACAGCGGAGTCGCAGTCCCCTGGCCATCTACCCAATACCTACTCCATTTGCAATCGTCTACGTGTCTTCTACGCATCGGATGATCTCCGATATTCCCCCGTCTGGCTTGCCCGCAATGCTGGTCTATACTGGTCCACCATTTCACCAGCGCTTACAGGGGGGTTCGCGCGTCTATCGCCGAGCACGTCCAACAAAGGTGCCGAAGTCAAGTATCAAGCGTGGTAGTCTACTTCTGAGTCGGCCATCATACTACTTCTCATCTCTTGCTTTCTCAGGCGAGAAGCCGCGCACCTCTCCTGAGAAGTGGACGTGCCACCTCACGCAATCGTCACTCTTCGGCACTTACCCGTCTTGGATCGTGCCCCCCCTGTGTCCCCTCCGCTGAGGGATCTGTGGTACTCACTAGGAGATTGCCGCTGTCTTGAACACCGGCTTCTCGTCTCTCCTTGAGTCCGTCGTACCTCGCGCCCACCTGCTTTCGATTTCACTCTGGAGTTTTTTCCCCCACGGCTGCAAGGTCCATCGTTGTTGGTGGAGAATCAGCGCTAATAGTCGCTCGTTGGAGCGTGTAATGTTTCATGAACAATACTACAGTTTCGCAAAGTTCATTAAGCTCATAACTAATTCCGATAAAGCAGCAACTTACCCAAGATGAAACCGAGGCTCAGCACGGCGGTAGCCACTAGCCAAATTGTACTTATGGCTCGGGTGAAGACATAGATCACTGCATGTCGGATAGCTGGATCCTAACCATTGGCTTTAGTACTCGGGGAGCTTGCTTGAGATGCGATACAACACTCACTTGTATGCTGCCTAGACGGCGAACCTCTTGATTGAGGGCTGAAGGTGATGTATCAAAGTCGATCCCGTGGCTCTTGCCTATCCTACTCCGCAAAACCTGTGGCATGACATAGGACTTTCTACACAGCTACTGGATGGGGAAATGGGCTTACACTTGCGATAACAGCTTCCCCTATTGAAATACCGATAGTCCCTCCAAGGGTTCTGCATCACTAATAAGTATAGGTCATCAATGCTGCCGAATCGACGTACCCACCTAATAAACACGAATGAAGAGGTACTTGTTGCCATGTCTTTCAAAGGCATCGCAGCCTGTAAGGCCACAAGTGGAGCCTGATACGCAGCCATCGTCAAGAGACGACGAGGCAAATGACAAAAAGTCTGCAGCTACCTCAAACAGAACACCCGCACCGAGAGCGGCAAGCACAGGATATATTTGTTGTTCAGCCCTATTAAAGTCAATCCCAGTCGCAGGACGATAGTGTGGTTTAACGCACGTCGTCGAATCATTATCCAACATAATCATCAGGCCAAAGCCAACGGTCATCAAAGCCCAGGAGCACCATATGAGCAGGCGGTATCTGCCCCAGCGTGTGATTATGACACCAGATATAGCAGCCACTAACGAGCTGCTCAGCGAGTAGGGCAGCGTCCTACATATCAATACACGAGATGGGGTCAGAGCAAGGTCGGAGATTGAATAAATAGTTACATACCTTGCTCCTGCAACGGTAGCGGAGTTCCCGAGGACCTGGTAGTAGAGTGGCAGGTAGAAGGTAGCTTGAGTAGATACATTAATGAGACAAATGCATGATAGTTGTGTGTAATGTACCAGCAAAGAGGGAGAACGCATGAATGAAAGAGCTGACAAGGATAACGACGGTGGTGCGCGTCTGCACAAAAGATATTGAGGCGTTGATATCATTTCAACGGTGACAATTGGACGTACCTTGAAAAGTCGCGGTGGAACTATTGGGGAACGGGCCGTGAAGCACTCATTGAGAGCGGCGGCAACGAGCAGAACACCTCCGACCACAAGCAAGGAAATGACGGAGACAGCTCTCCCTGTAGGAGATCAGTGATATAGACCAGTATCCATTCAATGATTCCAACGTACAACTGGATTCACCGAAATTGAAGCCCAGTAAGAGGCAGACGATGCCGGTGATAATTAGAATCAAGCCCACGAAGTCAAACTCGCGGGCGTGGTCCCTGAATGTCTTCCCTTGATGCGGGTTGAGGTGCAGGAAGAAAAGCAATATCGCTCCGGCAACACCACCAGTAGGTCTGCGATGGTTGTGCTATTCAGTTGTAACTCCAACTACGGAATCATCACCCGTACAGATTGATAAAGAAACACCTAGATGGATGACGATATTAGCAACACGGATCTACGGACCAAGTTGAAAAAAGTATGTTTACCATCTCCACGAAAGGTGATCTGCAAATGCCTGGTCAAGCGAATGATGAGAGCGTTGTGGGCTGTGAGGGCGAAGCGGCACTCACACCACCGAGAACCGGTCCTATGACACTGGCTACTCCCCACGTTGCAGCCATAAAACCAGCGTATTGGCCCCGGCTACAACAAGATCAGATGATAGTACATGGCGCGCATGGCTCAGACTTGCTCTTGTAATGAGACAATATCGGAAACTGTGATCTGCACCATTTGGAGGATGCCTCCCCCTCCGATACCTTGAAACGCGCGACATATAATGAGCCAAGTCAAACTCTGAGCAGCCCCGCATAAAGCGGACATGACCTATCGGTGTTACACCCCGTTATTAGAGAGCACAGGAGCATGTATGGGCGTGAACTCGCCAGAAAGATAACGATGGATCCATATAATATCGGTTTCCGACCTGTCATGATCTATAGTAGCCTGTGGCCCGATCTATGACATTAAACTCACCAAAAATGTCAGACATCTTACCGTACACGGGACCGAGACAGGTGGAAGCCAAAAGGTACGAGCTGAAAAGCTTGATTGATTGATCACCATTAGCAGGTTCGATGAGTGACAACGTACGTTCCGACCCAACTGTACTCGGAGCCGCCGCCCAAGTCCTGTACGATGGTAGGTAATGCGGTTGCTACTATTGTCTGCAAAGCATAGAGGGTCAGATTAAGAACACGCAGAATGGACTCGACCTTGCCTCGTCCAAGGCGGCTAAGAATGTGCAGGCCATCAACCCAAGAAAGACAATACCGAGCTGATTTTTTGGGAGAACATGTTCGTCCTTTGCTTTCCAGTGTTCCTGTGTTGTCCGTGCCGCCCCAGTAGGAGCGGTTGGCAGCGCTTCCGATATGACGTCCATTTGAAAGGAACTCTTCTAGCCCACGCCCAGTTTCTAATTCGTGGTTGAGGGCATGAATACAGGTATCCATGCCTTAGGCTTTCATCATAAATTTAAAGGGTTGCCCGCGCTGCACGGCGCTGCGGCGCAGTAGGTTGGCAGTAAGTCACTTTAATCGCGAACATTTAAGTTACCAGTTTTATCACGGAATCCTCCAGCTGATGCCCCCTGTCCCAAACTGCGTCAGATCCATTTATAATTAGGGCTTCGGCGTTTTCCTGATGTACACGTGCTGGGATCTTGAAACCTACCTTAGTAGTACCTACAGTGGCGGGAACATGGCCACTGATCATGAAAGCCTCATAATACGAAACGTCCATTTGACCCCACGTACGACGGATCCCACGGAGCTGTACGACGTCTTTTGCGTCCGCGGCAAAATCTCCCTGATTCGAAAGAGCTCCGAGACTCGGGTTTCCAACGAGACGACTGAGAGTCGCGAACTTGATGCCAAAGGCCAAGGCGTACTCTTGCCTTCGTATGTCCCGAATAAGTTCTTGCTGGTAAAACCTGCCTAATGTGATAAGGTAAGGCTCTGTCATTCGCACATACATCTAGATAAATGTTTTCTTTTGGAAAAATGCGACGAACTCATCTCGGGGTGAGTATCAAGGTGTGTACAGGGCGAGAGGGCGCTATTCTGAACAGCCATCTCAGAGACTTCCCGGAAGCTCTTCGTGTGACCTCCAAGGCGAAGTTTGGGTTCGCTGGGGACCTAGGTGATCTGTATGCCCGAGGACGCCATCTACTTCGGGAGAGCATCCAGTGCGGCGTCACGAGCATGAGAGCTCATGTCGAAGTTGACAGGACTGTAGGCTTCGCTTGCGTAGATGTGGGTCTCCGATTGAAGGAGCATTTCAAAGACACATGTGATATCCAACTTGCTGGTAAATTGTATGTCTACCTCCGGTGGCATACACTAACACTTATTTTCCTGCAGCATTTGCTCAAGACCCCTTGTATGCAGCTGGAAGCAAGGAACCGTCTGATAACCTGAGATGGCTCGAACAAGCTGCTGCAAAGGACGGTGTATCTGTTATTGGCTCTGCGCCCTACGTCGAGCCCTCCCTCGAACAGGCAAAAATGAACATCATCCACATTCTCGACCTAGCCGAGGCTCACACTCTCCACGTCGATTTCCACCTGGACTATAATGCTGACCCGGCCACCGAGCCTCTCGTCTGGTTTGTGTTGGATCAGCTACGTGCCCGTCGCTGGACCGAGCGAATCGCAAAGGGTTTACCAGCACACATTACCATCGGCCACGCAACTCGACTGTCCTTATTCTCGGCCGAAGAGTGGCAAATCCTTGCACGCTCCGTCATCGACTTACCTATCTCTTTTGTAGCTTTGCCACAGAGTGATCTGTATATGATGGGTAGAACCGAAGATACGCTGCCTGGACTGGGGCCACGCAGATACACTCTAAATGTACCGCGACTAAGGAAGCAATTCCGCTTGAACATTGCCATGAGCATCAATAATGTTCAAAATGCATTCACCCCGCAAGGTTCTGTTGATCCCCTTGCACTTTGTCCTCTAGGAGTAGCTGCTTTTCAAGCTGGAACTCCGAGAGACTGCATGATTCTCCTGGTGAGTACAGACTCTTGGCGCGGCTGCTGTATCTAAATGTGCAGGGAACTAGGAGGCAGTCTCTCGGGAATCAAAACGGGCAATTGGAGACACGAACGTGCCGAGAGGTCTTGTGTTATCCGAGGGCGATCCCGCCGACTTTGTCCTTCTACATGCCAACAACTCTGCTCATTCTGCGGCGCTCAATCCTTGCTGGGAACGGACGACGATTAAAGGCGGTGCCGTTGTTGGTGGTAGACGAGCTCACGTCTGGACGGTGTAGCGTCTGTCGTATGGTGCATTGTCTGCACATTAAACGCGACTCGGACGACTCCTTTCCTCGAACTTTTATTCATGTTGAAGTCTCGTACTACTGCTCTAGGACCACGCTATGTCCCACTCCAATATGTCAAATACTTTCTCTCGGCGTCCCGTGCTCGAATATAAATATGGTCACGCACCCGTAGATGGTGACAGTTTGGTGCGGGCGATGGGCTATTGATATTTTTGCAACGCGATTCCGGTCCTCCAGAGTCCTCGAATGACATTCTCACTTCGCCTCGAACAGCTTGGTCTTTTGTGTCTTCGCAATATGGCTTCGTACTGTCTCATACAATATCATAGCGACGAGCGGGACATATACTATGGATTCAACACTAGCGTCCGCTCGATGATCTCTTGAGCCTGGTGCAGTAACTGGATTGTCCCATACGTTGATTCAGCGTTTTCACTGTCATGACTCTAATAGTAACTGTAAGGGCGCAGTGCTATGCAAAGATACCCAGACTAACCTACAGCCGGCGTTTCCCTTCCGTCGGCACTTGTCTGGCGGGGACCGGTGGAGATACATGAGTGACTTGATTTGCTTCAGCCGTACTATCGCTTTAATGCGAGCGCCCCGGCAGTGTATGCAAATTCATTCCTTGCAAGGTAAATCTCATAGCAGGTGACGGGAGCAACTCACGGATGCAATGACTACGTTCTGACCTAGCCTCAACGTCCGGAAGATCGTCAGGGAAAGGCATAAGACCACCTACTTGTGAACGTTCGATTCAGCCTCGCCGCGTAGCGGGGTAGCTTGGCTCTCAACCGTGTGCACTTCCCATTCATCGATACGTACGGAGGAACTGACTGCACAGATAGTTTCAATTTGAGCAGACACAAGGCCGTGGTCATGTCACGGCAAGTGGGATATCGTGAGTCTCCTTGCCCTCTTCCCCGATTCATGCCAATGATTGTGGTCTAGCCCCTTGAGACCTATGGCAAAGCCACGACCGTAGGTTGGACGGATGGTAGATCTGGGCAGATCGATGGCATCGCTACTGTACCCTGAGAGTTCAGAGATATTAAGGGGGTTTTGTGGACTAATAGGCCACCGCTCGTATAAACCTTATTGTGATAAATTGAACAGGATCGCTGTACGACGCCGAGACGTTGAACTTCACGGATGACACCGATATTTTAGCATACATATCACCAAACTCCAGTTGATTCCAGAAGATGCGCAGGCGATATGAGGCACAGCGTTGTAGCGGCTTGGGAGTCAAGTCAAGTCTAAGTCAGCTCGGAGATGTGAGGCGCGCGGCCACCGGATGTAAGCAGACGAAAACTTTATCTCATCGACTCTTTCAGCGGCACTCTCCACTCCGCCACCTTCATATCTCTTTCTCAAATTTCTCTCTTCCGCCCCTTAGACTGGTATCATGGCCGAACAGCAGACCGTTCCTGCTTTCAAGCTTGTCCTCGGTACGTTGACGGCGCGTCGCTGTAGGACTCGGAGCTGATCAATGTTCATCTTTCATCCTCGATCGATATACGGGATTCTCAACACTATACTACGCGTTTCCGCCTCAATGCTCGCGTCTATGCCCTTTTCGTTGCGATATCCGATAATGTGATGCAGTTGGTGATGGTGGTACCGGAAAGACGACGTTCGTGAAGGTGAGGCGGCTCGCGCGACACCCGTTTCCAGCGCGATCGAGTGCTGATCTGAACTACTCTGCAGCGTCACTTGACCGGGGAGTTCGAAAAGAAGTACATTGGTACGTGTTCACTGCATACGATGCTGTCTATGAGTTGTGTGGCATGCGTATTTTCTGCTGCTCACGGTTATTCTTCACAGCCACGTTGGGTGTCGAGGTCCACCCTCTGACGTTCTCAACGAACTTTGGCACGATCTGCTTCAATGTCTGGGATACTGCCGGCCAGGAGAAGTTTGGTGGTCTCCGGGATGGGTACTACATTCAAGGACAATGCGGTATCATCATGTTCGACGTCACTTCTCGTATCACGTACAAGAGTGTGCCGAACTGGCATCGTGACTTGGAGCGTGTTTGCGAAAACATCCCCATTGTTTTGTGCGGTAACAAGGTTGATGTCAAGGTCTGTCGAATCTGAGCGCACCATGCGAAGTCAGGTTTGTGACGCCATTGTGTAGGAGCGAAAAGTGAAGACTGCGCATGTCACCTTCCACCGGAAGAAGAACCTCCAGTACTTCGAGATCTCTGCGAAGTCCAACTACAACTTCGAAAAGCCTTTCCTATGGCTCGCCAGGAAACTCGTTGGGTAAGTTGCCTCCTTTAGTAGCGCGAAGGATTCTCCCAACAGTCCTGTTCTAGCAACCCCTCCCTGGAGTTCGTTGCCGCACCCGCGCTTAAGCCGGCCGAGGTCGAAGTCGACGCTGCTCTCATGGAGCAATACAAGCGGGAGTTGGCTCAGGTAAGTCGATCCGAGGCTTTCTTCTTATTCACTCAGGCGCTCAGCGGAATAATTCCTGTAGGCAGAGGCAGTTCCTCTTCCCGAGGAGGACGAGGACCTGTAGTCGATAGTTTTTGCGCTCCACTTCTCACCTGCTGTCGCTGTTTATGTCCTTTGACGCTGCACCCATTGTTTCGATTATAAAGAAGGCACAACCAGTTCCACTATATCATCTCTTCCCTTCTGATTGTGCTGTTTCTTCCTATATCAGTAATCCGCATCGTGTCGTCCCAATGTATGTTTCATGAAGTATGCAATTGTCCATGGTTGGAATGGATTATGCCTTTGCAACCCGTAGAAGGCGCACATCAAAATTCAACATGGGTATACAAATGTGATACAATCTAATAGTAGAGCAGTGCAAGAACATCACAGGTAAGTACAACAACAAGATAAAGAGCAGCAGTATACAGAGCAAGCATCGGTAGCATATGAACAGCGGCGGGCAAGATAGGCAAAATTAAATGATCTTCTTGTCTGCAAACGCGAACCTGAGTACATCATACTCGAACCTGGTAATCTTTCCCTCCTGCACCAGAACGGCAAGGACCTCGTTACGTCTCTCAACTGACCATGCAGCGAGGCCCTGGAGATTGCTCATGGTCCTGATTCCGTATTCGTGGAATACCGAGTAGATGTTCCTGTCGTCGAGGTACGGCTGGAGCGAGTCAAGGAACTCGCGCACGGATTGCGATCCAGAAGGCTCCGTGACCAAAGTCGAGTCTGGTTCGGAGTCGATGAGTGTGCGACGGGGGAAGGTAGAATGGGGATCCAACAGCGGCGTGGACGCGGTGGTGGACTTAACAGGTCTGATGGGGTCTGATACAGGAGTCAATTCCGATTCGTAAGGACTGAGGGGAATGGTGTGTGCGTTGGATAGGGTGGAGGCTTTGGGTCCTCCGGGAGCAATTGTAGCGGATCTCTGGGGAGTGGCGACAGGCGCAGGTCGGAAAGAGCCCAAAGGTTTCACTGGGACCCGCAGTTGCGACACAGATGTCGAAGCAGCCAGAGGAGCCGAAGTGACGGAGGCTCGAATGTGTGAGGTGGATGTCATGGTGGTTTTGCGGGCCGCTACTGCAGACATGTGGCCAGGACGGAACCGACGGCCACGACGTAGTGCCAAGGGCAAGTCAGACTGCTTTTGCTGTACCTCTGCGCTGCTTAGAACCGACAGCGACTCACGCAACAGGATGTCGTCCGAGTCCGGCATATGGTGTCGGGCACCCGGCGTATCAAATTCTCCCCTCTGGTAACCAAGTAGGTATCGGTACATAGCAGTATTAGGGCAAAACGTCGGAAAAACGTACTTCCTTAGGGGAGATGTTCTCTTTTATTCCCGGTTCCTTGTTGACTTGGGGTTGATGTTTACCGTTGCCAAGATGTGTATACCCATAGACGCGTAGCGGCCACCCCCCCTCATACTTGCGAAAGACAGGAAATCGCGTGCAAGCCTAGCTGGCGCGTCATCATACGACCGACGACACAAGCAAGATATGCCCGCACCTTGTGGGCAAATCTCTTCCATTTATTGTGGTCCTGATGTCTGAGTCCTACATCAAGATCCAAGTAACATTCCGCTAATGACTTGAGATCCATCTAAGCATAACAATCGTGTCAGACATGGCCAGTCAAACCACCCAAGGACCCACAATCAGATCTCTGTACTGCTGCTCATCCGTTGCGTCTTTAGTAAGACCCAGTGCCTCTCTGAGAGGTATGTAGCCTTTCGGCTTTGGAATCAGCTTTTCTTCGACGGAAGCAGGCAAAGCCATCGGTACGGGTGAACGCTCACAGTTCAACATGGGTTTTCCTCCGGCAATGAGGCTTTTATAGCGACCGTGTCAAGTCCTTTCGTTGACCTGAGTCTAAGTTTACATAAATAACACTCACCGATGCGTAAGTACAGAACGCGTCCTACGCGTCCTGGGCGTCCCTGGTCACGTGTAGCGCGACCTCTGACGTCCAATTGGAGCCGGCTAGGCTCGTAACCACCCACTACAACAGATTGAGGCAGAATCTATGTTCACTTGGGGAGTTACACTCTTTTGGGCCGAGCAAAAGATTGTATGGTAGGGATATATGAAAGATTGGCTTTTGTAAATGATTTTGGGGCTCACAAAAGATAATCTTTATTGAGAATTTCGAAGCTTGTAACATATATTTTCAGCAGTATTATCTTGTTGATACATTATAATTAAATCTTTTAGATTCCCTTCTGACACTGGAGGATTTGTAATCTTTAGGGCCAGGCAGAAGGTTGTATGAAAGGGAATT